AAATGGAGGAAGAAATTTTCGTCTCGCCCACATCGTCAACGTTTAGATGGAATGAGACCCGCTCGCATTGTGCTGACCCTGAACTCCGCCTCGGCGGGATGTCTTCTTAGGTAAAGTCTGTCAAACGGATCAAACAGTATTACCTACCTTTCCGGCCCTGGGCTCGCTCGTAGACTGCGGTAGCCAAAGCCATACTCCGTACTGAACAGAGAGAAGAGAGTAAAAATAAATCCGAACTCAAAAAAAAGAAAAAGAAAAAAAAAAGAGTTGCAGGTGGTCTGTGCATTATCGCCGTACACCGAGTCACCGACGGAGCCGGCTCACCGAGGTCACTCGGCGGTTGCAATTGGCCACAGTTGCTCCCGCCCATCCCGACGCGGCTAAAGCTCCCACTCCGTTGAACCTCGCCTCAAGTCCTCCCGTCCGACGAGACAAACGGCCATGTCAAGGTAAAGGCAACGCCAGCCAAGAGTTCATCCACAACTATCATTACCAACACGGCAGCCAAACTTTGTATTCCCTCTCAGAGTTTCCCTGCAGTGGATCTCTTGCCACACTTTTTGTCCGTTGTCAACTTGTGGTCGTTACAAATCCCGCCGCCTTGGCACTTCGCGGACCTTTACTCGCGCCCGGAATCGCGGCATCTCCCGCTCCTCGACCTCACCTCGATTTTACCCGACGTCATCACAATCATGTTCTCCCGCCATGACTCTCAACCCCGTCAGACCTTGATCACCGCTTTCGTCGCCTGGAAGGCCCTCCTACTGGCCATCGCCCTCGGCAGCGCTGTGGCGCCATCTTACGATACTTCGACGACCTTGATGCTCCAGCGCAATGAGTCCGACGTCTCCCTCGTCACCCGCCTGACGCGCTGGGACGCTCTCTACTTCACTCAATCCGCCAGACGCGGCTACGTGTTCGAACAGGAGTGGGCTTTCAACGCTGGTCTGCCACTCGTCGTCTCGGGCCTGATCCGGGTCGCGCGCCTGCTTGGCTTCGAGGGCGATGAAACCGGCGCGTCGGAAGCTGCCTTCAGCATCGTGATCGCTCACGTAGCTCACCTATTCGCCGCTCTCATGCTGTACGAGCTGACCGTCAAGCTCTTTACTCGACCTCGATTGGCATTCCTGTCCGCCTTGCTCCACATCTTGTCTCCGGCTGGCCTATTCCTTTCGGCACCCTACGCAGAGAGTCTTTGCGCCTTCTTCTCTTTCGCCGGCTACTACGTGCTCGCATCGGCGTCGACCTCCACCAAGGGGTCATTTCCATGGGTCACAGCTCAGATCTTGGCCGGCGTCATCTTTGGTCTCGCGACGGCCTCTCGGTCAAACGGCCTCCTGAACGGCCTCCCCTTCGCCGTCGAGTGTCTAATGATCCTGCCCCCGCTGCTGGCCAGCCCTATGAGCTTGAAAAACATTGCGGCTCTGTTTGGTTCTGTCACAGGCGGGCTCCTCGTGGCAACGGGGTCCGTTGTACCACAAGCGCTTGCTTGGCTGCGATACTGTTCCGGCGCATCCGAGGCGCGCGCATGGTGTGAGCGGACCGTGCCCAGCATCTATTCCTTTGTACAGGAACATTACTGGTATGTACTCTTTGCGCTTCACCGTCGTTTTCTCTTTCAGGAATGTACTCTTTGCGCTTCACCGTCGTTTTCTCTTTCAGGAATGAAAATTTCTCTCCAGCCTTACACTAGCCATGGGTCTGGTCATGGTTGAGTCACCCCTCCCCCCTCTGTCTGCTTCCCTCCCTCGGGCCCCGTCAAGTGCTTTGGGTCGGTACTTGCGGAGATTTGAGGTGGGATCTGGGTTTTGTGGGATCGTGAATGTCACTTGGTTCCTCTAGATTCTGTTCTCGCTTGCTAATCTTGGATCACGCAGGGGCGTTGGCTTGTTCCGTTATTGGACGCTATCGAACGTTCCTCTGTTCGTTCTTGCCGCGCCGGTGCTGGGACTCCTCATGGTGTCCGGGTGGGAAGTCATCAACAGGCCTTCGGGGTTGGCGCGGAGTCCGACGGCGGAGAAGCAGCGACAAGGGCAGAGTGGCACGAAGTCGGTTTTAGTAGGTTCCATGGCCGCTGCCCAACTTCTGCTTGCCGCCTTGGCGATCACGACGTACCATGTCCAGATCATCACTAGGATCGCGTCTGGGTATGCGGTGTGGTACTGGTGGGTTTCCGGTTGTCTGCTGGACCACGGCACCAACGGCAAGAGACGGGACGTTGGCGGCAAAGTTGTCATTTTTTCCGTAATGTACGCCATGATTCAGGGTGTGTTGTTTGCGTCGTTTCTACCGCCTGCTTGAGATACCCCGGGTTCTGCCGCTGCGGCGCATGGATCTCAGTTTAACCTGTTCATCATAATAAATAGACTTTTCTTTTGACATTGAGTCGCATGACGGAAGTGCCTTGTGAATTCAACGCCCCGTACGTACTGCATATGGGATGATGACCAAGAATGTCGGCCACTTCGGATAGCCTGGAAGCCTCATGAACCCTTATCTGGACCCTGACTCTTGCTGCCAGGTAAGCCAAGCAAACCTAAAGCCTTGCGTATGAGGTGTAGTCAAACAATGTGACTCAAGCATGAAGAGTGATGTCATGCTTCCCAAGGTCGGTTGACGTCTCTGGCATGTTCATGCCATCTATACGCCAATAAAATTTGTCTTCCAGAGCAATTCAGGGTCTATGATCGTGATGAAAGGCTAATATTGGATGACCACCGATGACAAGTCCGTCATCCAATTGACCCAAGTCACGAGGCACCTTGTAATGGCTTGACCTGTGTTTATGCCTCTTTCTAGCATCAAAGTAAGTACGAGGGTAGGACTGCAGATTGCAGTAGGGGTGACCTCCTGACCATGGTTCAATCGTGGCCTATCAAATTGTTCTGAAATCATCAATTGTGAACACCTCCCTCTGAGTTTACTGTTTAAAAAGTACCGAGTAAATGGTGCATCGATCAAATAGTCTAAGAGGGCCTTAGTCGAGAGTGCAGCACAACATTAGGTATGATGATCAACACAGCTGGACTCCACGAGCTTGGAATTTGGGCCGGATGCCTTGTTGTTAAAATGTAGCATACAGTCGGCGGCGTGGGGTATGTCATGGAGCCTCGCACACTCTGTAAGAAAGGAGTCTCGGCCTTGGAATTGGTAGCTATCGTTCTCCATTCGACATGTTGGGCAACCTATAACAATCATAAGGTAACAAGCAAGGAACAAAGCCTTTTGTGCGTAGTTCTTTGTATTCCTGAGCTAGATGTTCATTCTGGGTACAAGAACGATAAAGCCATGATAGCTGTCCTATCCCGATGGCGTTTTGGTGATGACTAGGCATAATCAGCATGGACTCATTCGCTCTTCAACCTGAGAAAGAACACAGACTTACAAGCCCCCATTCAGACCGTGCGTCGCCATATCTCCAGCCTTCGACCCCCTTCCAGTGCTCATCTCCTATCTTAGACTCGTATCGATGACGGTCACCTGTGATGTTAGATGCATCCTCTAATGGAACAATGGTTCGTACATATGTGTGAGTAGTATGAAAGAGGCGAGCAGTGCATGTACTAACAGAAAAGCTATCCCATGAGGACTGGTTAGGTCCAATGACAATCCCTTACTGAAGAGCCTTTTTCTTGAGCTGCATGAGGTACGCCGAGGTGCGAGCAACCCTTTCCGTCTCGAAAGTGAATTCTTTTCTGTAGCGAGCTTTCTTGCGCTCGATGTCGCGGTCTCGGCGGAGGACATCGTCGAACTGGTGGGCTTCCAGCCAAAGGGGCAGGAAAAAGGACATGGAATCAATGAGGGGATCAGCCTGGCCGACGACGAACTTGACGATTCTGATCTCCTCGTCATCCTCACTGACCGCTGCATTGTTGCAGAAGATATGATTGGATCGGTCAGCAACGTAACTTTCGTTACGGGCCAGATAGTTGTCCACGGCCTTGTATCGATAACTAGGATTGAAGAAGCCTGTCATCTGAAGGAAGATGCAAAGCTCGTTACCGGTCATGGGAAGAGCCTGCGGATGATACCCGACGACCAGGCGGATAGCGAAGGCAATACTCTGCTTGGGATCGTTGACTGCGGAGTTAATGACCTCGTACTTGGAGCCGTCGGGATTCTGACGAGAGTAGCACACGACGGAGGCGCCGAAGTGATCAGGGAGAGGGCCTGGGAATTTCAAAGGCAGGTGGCCATGGCCATCCTCAGACTGCAGGTCGCCGATGATTTCCTCATCTTCCTATCTACTGATTAGTCCGTCTGCGTGTTTCTTATTACAAACCAATTGATTGCTTACCTCGTCCGGGACGCAGGGCGCCCAGTCCCCGTGCCAGATGAAGCACTTCTCAACTTCCCACTTGACCTTGGCTTTGGCGCAGTTGGTAATCACGTATGCAAAGTCGGAGGTGGGTGTGGTTGGGGGAGGGTAGAGAGAGCCTGGGGTGGCCATTGTTCCTCTGTGCGATGATGCCGTGTTGAATGATGAGAAAGTATGAATGTTGTCTTGGGTTGGCGATGGAAGGAGCGTTCCCCAATTTCAGAAATTTCAGAAGGGATGAGTATTTGTGAAAAGGTGTTCCAAAGCGGCGTGTGTATTCATTCATTAGGGCTTAATATGCCTCACTACATAATCTCATCGGTGTGTCTATTTACCTACGTATACGTGCGCGATGTGTTAGAAGGCATTGTCTTCAAGCTGGGCTACTGGTTTCTTTGACCTGCGTTCACACGAGTTTCATCGTCTGGCTTGAAAGGCCATGAGCATACTTATGAAACACCAACAGCAAACAGCTGGATAAACATGTATTTCAACCAATGGTCTCAAGCCAATATCTAAGGGTACAGGAAAGCCTGGCTAGGGGTATGGAGTCTAAAGTAGGTAAGAGTAGGTCATTAGCAGGACGAGTAGGCTCTAGAGTTGCCACACCGTCTTCATTAGGATTAAATGAGAACCTGAAAGTAGAGTCCTCGGATGAGGGACACTTTGTAAAGCCCGTCGCTTAGTCGCTGTCCTCGTCCCGGCCAGGCCATACGAGCTTTCTCCTGATGACGGCACGGGCACAGCAAAAGCCAACAAACAGCCAAACGGCGACCAGCGCAATGGTGAACACCGTGGCTAACCACAGCAAGCCCTCGTTGCCGAAAGCCTCGCCTATGCGGATAGTGGCAATGGTGAAGCCGACGTTGGGGAATACGAAACTCCACCAGCTGAGGTGAAAGGAGTGATCGGGCATCCCAAACATCGTAGAGAGACAGGCGGATGAGAAGAACCAGAACGACAGGCCCCACAGAAAGACGGCGGTGAAGAGAGCGACGGCCCTTACGGCGAAAGCGACGGTGCCTGGATTTTCCATGCCGTATAGATAAGCCGCATCGCGGAGGGAATCGGAGATGATGGATCCCTCGGAAGCGATGAGCCGGGGCACGTTGGCACCCATGGCTACCAAGGCCGCGGCGGTGAAACTCGGCGGTCCGACTGCGATGAACATTCCGGGGCGTTGGACGGGGAGGCCAATGGTCATGAGTCTGGACAGATACGTCGCGTACATGAAAGCTGAGACGAGGAAACCCAGCCCCTGAGCCGCGAGACCTGCGCCTAGCATAGCAGCGGCTTGATTTGGCGGCTGCGAGGAGGCCATGAAGCCAGCTAGCGTACCTGATAGCATGACGGGAAAGATGGGCAGAATCCAGGCCGGAGTCATGCTATCTAGTGACAGTCTTCTGCGGCCGGTGAAGAGGAGGTGGTACATGCCGACGGAGGCGAAGAAGGTGACCACGAGGTAGATCCAGAAACACACTCTCAAGGTGACGATGAGCCATGGACCACATTTCGGAACAGCGTAGTGTTGAATGTTAGAAAGGGCGGCAGCGATGGAGAGGAAGAAGGTCGGGATAAAGAGGGATTCTGAAGGGTGCGTGATGGCTTTTGCTGGCGTCTTTCGGAAGAAGGAGAAGCGGAGGCAAAGGGCCAACGTAATGAGGAAGATGAGAACAATGTCGAGAAGGAAGACGATGAGACCTATCGTGTCTAGCCCGCGGAATCGATGGGGAGTCTCGGCGATGAGCAGGGCGATGCCGCCTGTTGACATGCTGTGTGGGAGGTGTCAGTGAGATACAGGGGGTGAGGGGGCTAGGCCGGTAAGCCCGCATGGGAAGCCGTCGGCTCGGGACGCGGCATGAGACATACGTTAGGGTGTACCATGCAAAAGTGAAATGATGTATGCGTTCGCGCAGAGAGACCTTTTCCAGAAGGGTGTTGGTTCTGCTCTTTGTGCGGGAGAGGGTGGCCATGAGAGCATTCTGAGGCGGCTCGTCTGAGATTTGGCCCTCGTCCCTGGTTCGGGTCGAGGCCTTGGAGACGACATCTGCGATATTATGTGAGTACGCGAGACTGAGTATGAGAGTAAAAAGATCGGACTAACTTGTAGGTTCGTCAGCGGCAGCCATTATGATGGATTCGACATGAGTAAAGTGAATGTTTTGAGGTTCTCTTGATGAGATTGATGAGTTGTGAGAAGCGACTGATTGTTTCTTTGATGCAACCTTTGGACGCGATTCCTTGCTCGAGGTTCCTGGCGCTCAGATGATCGACGTCACTGTACTTTGGCAACCTACGGGGATGGCCCTACATTAAATTTAGAGTCTGCAGCAGATGAGTCAGCCAACCTTTGCTGTGGTTCTCCCCTGCGGGTCACGCCAACGAGTCGGTACTGGAGTGATGAGAAAAGGGGGCGGTCGTACGATTTGAGTATTTTTTGAGGGCTTTCGTTCCTGGGATTCAAACCGGCCGGTCACTGCTCGGTAGGAATAACGAGCCATACGGAAGGCAAAAGAGGATGAACAGCGGTCTGGGAAATTCTTGATCGGCAGGGCCGAATTGAGGCCGGGCATCGGTTCGATACGGAGGCGGCGAGCTAGGAAGGTACTGCCGGCGTGGCGCCGTGCCATCGGGTCTTGGGGTCTTGGGGGTCTTGTGCGGATAGGTGCAAGGGTGCCTTCCAACGATTTCTGAGGGAATGGACCGATATCGTCGTGTATTTTAGCTCTGAAATATGAAGAGGCCGAGAGGGGATGGTCTCATCTCCTCTTTGGTACCAGTAGAGACGTTGCCTTTTTCTAAGTCTCCCATCGCGAATGGCCGTCCATAGATATGAAGTAAGTATGGTCGGTAATAGGCTGTCCGGCTTTGAAGACAACGTGAGTTGGGATGTTCCTCGCATGAACAGCCTCAACCTTGAGCGTGGGCAGAGGCGAAATTGTCATGCAGGGGCATAGTGGCCATCAAATGCTTAAAATCTGGAGCATTCGGCATTTGTCGTGACTTGCTCAACAAGGGACGATAATCGACCGGACACATTGTGGCTGCTCAGCTCCTACTACGTAGACCCTGAAGGCTGAGGGAGCGGCAGCAAGATCTTGACGCGTATGCTGGGAGTCTTGTCCCACGGAAATTGCCGTTTGGATAGGGCTCAGGAATGGATGTGTCCAGGCCCTGAATTGATGGTTTGCTGGACGCAGGCAGACGAGACACAACGTGGCCGCGAATTCATGTGATAGAATTTAGACCCAGGGATGGAATCAATCACTGTGAGAGTGAAACACGGCTGCTTCTGGTACCTCAAGAGTATTGAGAGTGAGCTCGTAGTGTTGGGGTGGATGATTGCGTCTTCCGAGTGCCGCCTTCGGCGAGCTGGAAGAGAAAAGAAGCGCATTGACCTGGCCAATGTCTATGATGCTCACAGCAGTAGCAGCAAGAGCCAGGAGGGCAGCGAGGACGGATGGATGTGGCGCGAGTGGCCTGCAGACGGACAGGCCTAGTTCGGGCCGGTAACACTCGGCCGGTTCCCCGCCGTGCCCGTCTGTGGGCAGATATTGTCTGTTTGAGCATGACTAATGAGCGGATGGGCATGCGAGAAGTTGGTGAGTGGTGCTTGGCTCCTCCTCAGTTCCAGGCTGTTGGCCGCGAACCGGTGCCAATACTCGGTATATCTATGGGCATGTCAGGTTGGTCGATGCTTGCCTACCGATTGGTGCAGGTGAATTTCGACGAGGATAGTCACGTAGACATGGGTAGCAATGCAGGTTGCCGTCACGATGGCAGCATGTTGGAACGCGTGGTTTGTGCTTTTTTGCAGGGTCGCAGCCGTATCCGTAACGTGAGAAAGATGAAGGCGACGTGTTGGCGTTGGTGAGGTTGACTATGATGAACTGTGTTGGAGAGACCGATGAGCATGATGGGAGATGGCAGAGTGCGGATACCTGAGTTGGAATAGATGTACGGAGTACAGATTAAATATTGAGGAGCTGTAATAAGGTCTTGAAGTAGGGGAGGTGCTCCGTAAACGTGATGCTGTGACATGTGAGCAATCGGGTTGTGCGTCTGTTTTCTCCTCTTAAGCAACCCAAGTGCAGCGACGCAATATCGAGTCCACCAGTGAGTCCCGACTGGACATGCTGCGTCACAGTCTGTATACGTAAGTGGATGAGATGGACTTGAGGCGTCGCGATTGTGTTGGTAAGAGAAGTCCGTTTGGTGATGGTTGAAGTTGCGTGGATTGTGCCCTTATGGTCCATCTTCCCGTCTCATTCAGTGCTCGCGGCAGGTTTCGAGAAGTAGTTCCAGGCTTGAGTTAGCAGACGAGATACATGTCGAGACTTGGAGGCTGAAAGAGGGGCTATTCGGGGTCCTTTTCCCCGCTCAGATGGCCCTCTTCGCAGCCACGCAGTGCACTTTAGGCAAGCTAAGTAACTAAGGAAATCGCGGCAAGCGCTGGGATGCAGCTGTCACCGAGAGAGGAAGCCAACCTAAGGTGGGGACCTCAAGCTTACCTAAGGCACCAGGAACAGCGAGGCAAGGCAAGGCTGCCAAGGGTGCGTAATGAGGTCCTGGAGCCGGTCTTCTGACATCAGATGTATCTCCACACCAGCTTTGGCACGAGAGATACTTGAGAGCTCACCTTCTAGGCTGAGGTCTCCTCGCCGGCTCTCCCCAGCAAAGGTGAGGCCCAGGCTGCTGCTCTGGTGCATCATCACTCCCTCCCGCTGCGTCCATTATTACCTGCGTACCTACCTTACCTTACCTTACCTTGGGTACGAGTAGGTAAGGTACACCAACCTGGCACATCAAGGTAGGTAGTTTTCCTCACTGCTTGACTGCAAATGCTGCAAGGCCGCCGGCCGCATACCGTCACCCGTTCCCCGGTGAAGTACGTGCCCGCCTCTGTTGCCTCTCCCGCTCCGACCACAGCTGCACCCGCTGCACCTGCATCCTGTCTGCGTCTGCATCTGTCTCTTTTTTTTTATTTTCTTATTTCCCTTCTCCTTCTTCCTCTTCCTCTTCCTCTTCCTACTCCTTCTCCTCTCCAGGCTGCTTGGAATTGGGGAAACAGAAGATTGCATTACCATCCAACGCCCTTTTTTTGTTGTTCTTGTCGTGCTTCTTCTCCTTCTTGTCCTAGTCAATTTCCCCCTTGTCCCAGGTATCCTTTCCGGTGCTCATATCCCCACGCGCCCAAGACTGGGCTGGGACAGCCAAACGGGGGTTCTGCGGAGACCCACGACCCAGACAGCATCATCGTCCATTATTCATCATTGGTTCGACTTCCAACACAACGACGCAATTGACCACCATTGATAGACAACAACCATACCCAGCGGCCATCAGACATTTGCCCTAGCTGTCCGCGACAATCCCCCTCCTCTACGACTTCTTCCTGACGTCCTCTCCGTACTACCAATCCACCCGCGGATCCGCCCATCCGTCCACCTTCAACCGTCGCCTCGCCTCCAATCTCGTGCTGTACTGTACCCCCCCGGATCAACGCACGCCCCGCGACCGACGACACCACCCGACCTCCCGTCCGCTGACGCCCCCAGCTGCATTGCATCTCGCCTGCCTGTGGTGTGGGAGCGGGAGAGCTTGATTCCTGCTGCACCTGTGCGACCATCCCCATCGTTGCTACCCCTCCGCTCGGTCGCTCATCGATAGAGTCGCAAAACACCTCCCACCCATCTTCCCAACGTCCAGTGTCCTCGACACGACGCCATCGCCGCCATGGACGAGACACCGGGGCCGCAGCCCTCCAACCATGCCGCTGCCTTGTCTGCTGCCTCTACCGCACACTACCTGTCCAGCCACTTCGCCTCCGTCGATACAATCTCAAGATCAAACTCCCCCGGTCCGCCCTACACAAAGAACGACGAGGACGACAAGAAGCGATACCGCCCCCGCACATTTAGCTACTTCAATCACCTGCCCTTTCCTGTCGAAGAGGAATCACAGCGCGATGCTGCTCTGGCCGGTATTCTCAAGCACCTATACATCGCCATCAAGGCTGAAGACTTTAGCCCCGGTGCTTTGCACTGGACAAGAGAGCTCACAGGGTGGCTGAATCTCAAGTTCGAGATGACGCGAGAGCTTCGCTCAACCTTGGCCAAGCTCTACTATCACCTGTGCCTCGCCCCAGGCCTTGAGCCAAGTACTGCCGACCGCTTCTTGCGCATGGTTGTCATCTTGACGAGGTGCGCTGCTACTCCCTACCCTTCCTCTCAATCAACCCTGCTTCTTCTTCGTCCTACCAGACTAGCCGCTGACCATTACTTCTCTCGTACAGAAAGTACCACTACCTCAAACCCGTCGATGACCTCCTACTCGATTGGCGCCCCTTATGGCGCGAGATCAAGGCCCTGGTGCTCCCCTCAGAGGTGGCTTCACACCAGACAAACAGGCGCCGCTCCCAAAAGCAGTTGTGGAAGCTATGCCTCCATGCTCAGACATACTTCGATCCCAAGGATCGCAAAGAAATGCTCGACGAGTTCCTGCCCTACTTTAGCACCTCAGATGTCTCCAACGCCTATATCGTCGTCGGAACCATCAACGCGCTACTTCCCACCGATGCTGCCCCAGAAAACGTGCCGTGCTCCCAGCCGCAAGAGTTCATGCCCACACTATTCCACCTGTGGTCTTTGATCTCGAGATCCAAGAGCTTCGACGTCTTCTTCATTGACCTCTACTCTCGCATGGCAAGAGACTTTTTGCAAGCCTCCAATACGTCATTCGATGCCCACGGCATCTTTACCAGGGAACAGTCTGATTGGATTTTTACGGCTATTCTTCGCTTGACAGAGATTCCGGTCGGCCAGTCCAACTCACCATACTCGACTCTCGACTACTCGTCAGGCTTGGGCCTGTATCTCGAGAAGGACAAGAAGAAATACCCCACGGCTTACATGATTGCCCGGTGGATTGTCTACTCCTTGTCGCCCAAGTGCTTGGAGCAAGAAAGCTCCATTCTGGCGAGTCTCGAGGGCCTTTTAGAAGCCATCGACACCTTCTACCACCCCTCCAACGTGGGATCATGGACCACCTTTTTGGGACAGTTTACAGTATACCTAACAGATATCTTTGTGTCTCGTTGGAACCGCGAAAAGAGCGGCGAACTGGATACGCCAGAGGATCGCAAGATCACTCCCGCCTTGAAGCAACGATTCGTGTCTGCGCTCAAGGAGGTCACATACATGGGACTGTTCTCCAAGAGTAACAGAGTTGCGCATTACTATTACGCGTCGCTTCAAGG